TGGTTGAAATTCTGTCCAGCCCTTTTTACGTTCTCCAACGTGAAGTCCTTAAGAAAGATAATAGGGGCTTTTGAGCTGAAATGCTATCGAAAGATTCCCAGAATATCTTGGACGAAAAAGAGGAGAAATACTGACATCTTGAAAGATCTGAACATCAAGAAAGATTGGCTAATAAACAGCATCCTGTATCTGAAGTTGAAATATTTTGGTCATGTCAAGCGCTACAACGAAATGGAAAAAAGTTTTAACAGAAGGCATGGTACCAGGAGGTAGGGGCAGTGGCCGACCAACACGAAGATAAGCACAGAATGTAGGTGACTCCTTGAGTATGAAAGTGCATGAGGCGGGAGAGCTGGCGGTAGACCGAGTTTCTTTTAGACAGACCGTGAGGAGAGCGACGTTCTGCAAAGGACCTGCTACATGATGATGACGATAAATGAACGTAAAATTGTGACAACAGAGATGAAATGCCTTAGAAGAGCTGAAGAAGTTTCAAGGAAAGACAGAATACAATTTCACGAAATCAAACGAATGCTAGGAAAAAAACCAGTCTTACAAGTCATCAAAGAACAACAAATGAGGTGGTTTGGACACCTAACAAGAATGCCCTGATACTATCTGTCACAGCGAGCAAGACTAAAACGTTTTAACGGGTATAGATTGAGTGGAAGACCTTGAAAAATATGGAGTGATGGCATTAGGAACAGCCTTACAGAAATGAACATCAGTCTTAATAGTTCTCTTGACAGAGCTCATCAGCGAATGTTTCATTCACCCCCCCTCCCCCCCCCCCCTTTTTTTCCACGACAATTCGCTGAGGTACAAAGTGGAAGAGAAGAAGATCAATTTTAGTTTGGGGGTAAATTTTTGACGTCCTCTTTTCCTCGATCATTTTATTTCTCATTTCAGTTCCTGCTTGGTGATACTGAGCTCGTTTCTTCTCAGGATGTGTCCAATGAAGCGCCATCTTCTCTATCTTATCACTGCTGCTACAAGTGGTTGCCCAGACCTTTCTCTTATATCTTCACCACTCTTGAACTCCCAGTTTATGTTCAATATTTTCCGCAGGACATTTGCTTTCACCTGCACTTAACTTTCGTTTGATATCTTGCAGCCTTTACTTCCCATGAAATGTTCATGTAACTATTTTAGACTGTGTCAATCAAGGAGCCAGGTAATCATGAAAACACACCTGGTTGGGGATTTAAAACCAGTTGTTCTGCTTGAGTTTCAAAGCCCTATTGTGAGCGGGCTTCGGGGGGGGGGGGTGGAGATAAACTCACTGCCTCTCTAACAAGCGTCTTCCTTTGATGTCGGAGTGCACCTGCCTAAGAGACAAGGAACCAACTAATACAACACAGATCTGTAAAACGAATCTGTACACACTATTCAAGTTCTGAAACAAGACCAAAATCCAGAAGTTGATGAACAACCAGGACTTTGCGTCGGATTTTACAGCCGGTGAACGTCAAGAGAATGAAGAAAAAGAAGACCAACACCTAAGGAAGCGACATTTAAACAAAAGAGAACTAAAAAAAAGGTATAGTCCGTTCAGCAAGTCGTACCGTCAAACAGATTTCTCGACAACCCATGTACAGACCATCAAGATTTTTTTTTTTAGTCCTTATGATTTCAAAATTTACAATTGCTGCTGTTTTATGCTCTTTGTTGGACTAGACGTTTATGCAGAAGAAAAAAAAAAAAAAACTATGTAGAAACCTACGCAAATCGTGTCCTTTTTATTAGCCAGTCAACAAGTATTATGATAGTAGGAGACATAGCAATTTCACGATTCAAAATAAGTGCGCTTAGTTTCTCGCAAGGATAACCACCATAATGGATGCAGTGTGATGTTTTGTCTTAAGCCATGTACGATATTAGTGACATGTAGTAAGATAGTTGTATGCTTTGAATCAGTGTATGTATTTTCATATACCACAAATAAGAAACAAAAACTAGATGTTTGTTTATATTATAATTTTTTTTGCTTGAAGGGCATGATTATTAATAGGTTGCATGCCAAATGAGAAAAATTTACACCGAACGGTTACTGAGTTACATGTGTTTAAAGTTGACCACGATTTTTTGAACGGACTATAGTTATTTTTCGTGTAGGAAATGTCCGCAGAAAATTGATTACATCCTTGTCTCGTCCTCAAAAGACTGTGTGTGTGTGTGTGTGTGTGTGTGTGTGCTGGCGCGTGCGCGTGTGTGTGTGTGTGTGTGTGTGTGTGTGTGTGTGTGTGTGTGTATGCCTTCTATCCTGTTCGCGATTGCAACTGTTTCAGAGATCTCTAAGGCTCGTTATTTTAGCTGTTGAGTTCGTGCTATGTTTTTAAGGAAGACCAGCTGCTCTGCGTACACACACAAACACACACATACGCAGACACGTACTCACATCCACACAGCCAGTTAAATGAAGTCATCAAATCTCCTTGTAACACCCATGACAGTTGGTGTACAGGTTATGGGATCTAATTATAACTTCTTGCGAGATTCAGCGGGATATCTGCGATTTTCATTGTTAAGCTGTCATCCTGGATACTGCTCACTGGGTCGCTACGTGTCAAAACTTTAGTTTGCAATGAAGATGACTGAAATAGTCCAGAAATCAGTCAGTTTCTGCATTGTCTCCAGTGTGTATTTTTTAAGTATTCTTGTAATAAAAATCTCCATCATCACCACTATCATCAAATGTTTTCTCTATCAATAGCATGTATCAGTTTGACTGACGTCTTCTTGCTGTGAGATGACAATAGACTACCAAGACTCTCTCGCTGACTTACCGTCACCTTTTTGTAAGTGTTTCCAATTGTACAAGCGGAAAGAAAGAGAGAGAGAGAGAGAGAGAGAGAGAGAGAGAGAGAGAGAGAGAGAGAGAGAGAGAGAGAGAGAAAGAGAGGGGAAGAGATTGACTCTCGACTTCTTTCTGTGCCATGATATAAGACCATCGAGACTCTTGCTGACTTACCGTCTCTTTATGTGTTTCCAGTTTCCAGTTCTACAAGCGTGTTGCAGTTGTCGTCTTCCATCTCAAGAGAAAGAGAGCGAGGGTGAGAGAGAGAGAGAGAGCGAGAGAGAGAGAGAGAGAGAGAGAGAGAGAGAGAGAGAGAGAGAGAGAGAGAGGAGAGAGAGAGAGAGAGAGAGAGAGAGAGAGAGGCCGACAGATAAACGGACAGAGAAAAGGGGGAGGGGAGATGTCAGCAGAACTCATATGTTCCCTTTAGCACTTTAAAGTTCTTTTTCAAAAAGTACAAAGTGCAGCTGTTAAAGATAAACATGCATAAAACAAAAGTAATCGTAAATTATATTACAGACCGTCGGTGTTAACAGCGGCATCTTAAGCGAAACAAAGAGCAGTAACACTATAATTCAATTCGCATATTGTAAGAGATAACTAACGACAGTTAGAAAAAGAGGAAAGCATTCACTGAAAAGCGAGCATATAATCATCAACATAAACTTAAAAAAGAAACATAAGGATTGAAAGACGAGGACGTATGATCATCATCATCATCATCATCAGGTGCCTTGCCGACTGGCGTGGGCGATCATGTTTCTCCATAATCCACGATCTCCTGCAGCTTGTATCAGTTCGTGTGCCGACACACCTCCATGCCATGCCACAAGACTGTCAAGCATCTTCTCTCGTTGTCTTCCTCTATCCCTCCTTCCACAGATCTTTCCAGTGGTCACAACATGTTCTATTTTCCCTCTTCTTGTAACATGGCCGTAAAATGATGACTGTCTCATTCTGATGTCTGTGATAAGTTGTCTTTGGGCTCCCGCCTCTTTCAAAACCTCTTGGTTACTGTTTTTGGCTGTCCAAGGTATTCTAAGCATTCTTCTGTAAAACCACATCTCTGAGGCCTCAAGAAATTGTTTGACCTGTCTACCGATTGTCCAGGATTCGCAGCCATATGTTAAAACTGGATGTATGTAGCAAGCTAGAATTCATTTTCTAACTCTCAATGACAAGGATATATTGCATAAGATATATTTATTTTATAAAATGCAGTTTTTGCCTGTCCTATTTTGTTTCTTATCTCAGTTATGCATCTTCCATCTGATGTTATCCATGTGCCCAGATACTTAAATGTCTGTACTTGTCCTAAAATAACACCATCGACTTTTGTTACACATTTAGGAATATTTCGTTTCTTTGATGAGCGTATGATAGAAGAGCCGAAAAAGAAGTTGATGAGAGAGATCATAGGTGGTGGAGATTCTATCCCCGATTTTGAAACTCTCGCACATGATATTACACAGTTGAAGAACAGACTGCTAGACCTATATGATATGTGGCGCAACATCAGGATGATGTCGATGAAGATGAGGCCATAAGAAAGGTCGGCGAGAGACTGCAAAATGAGACAAGTCGTGGACGGGTTAAAAAAAAAGACGACGTGATTTAGCCGAAGACCTTTGAACCCCTACTAGTTGACAGAAGAAGAAGAAAAAGAAGAAGAAGAAGAAGAAGAAGAAGAAGAAGAAGAAGAAGAAGAAGAAGAAGAAGAAGAAGAAGAAGAAGAAGAAGAAGAAGAAGAAGAAGAAGAAGAAGAAGAAGAAGAAGAAGAAGAAGAAGAAGAAGAAGAAGAAGAAGAAGAAAAACTAAAAAATTATATTTAAATGTATGTCCATGTCAGTAATAATGTAAATATCGGCAAAAGTGAATGAAGAAAGAAACCAAACCTAGCTTGTTTAATATTAATCCACGTATGCGAACAAAACAGATAATTAAATCTCACACCTAGACCTCTCATCGTTGAACAAAGCCAAGCAATAACGAGCAACGGGCAATGCCTCGTTCAACAATAGTACACGTTCAGATTCGGCCATGACGAGATCATTTAGCCATCAAATACATCTAACCTGTCAAAGAGATTTGGCAACAGCTGGCAAGCGAGACGTGTCTCTGGCAATCGTCAATAATATATGTTCAAAACTTACTTGCATTCAAAGTTCAGCATTCCAGTTTATGACAACCGGTGAGGGAAGTCATGAGGGTATGTAGTTAGTGTTCTATGTGATACAGTGATACTTCCTCTTTTTATTCAGCATTCCTAGCCGTTGCGGTTCATTGCTGCAGATATCACCCATCTTCATTCAATCATTTCTGTAACTGTCCTTTTCTTTTTAGTTGGTGTCTCAAAATGTTCATAGGTCTTCTTGTATGTCATCTCTCCATAATCTTCTTGGTCTGCCTCTTGGACCACCCCCATTCAGCCCTTTTGTGTAGGCAGTTTTTGTGTCTATGTTTTCTACCATTCGCGCGTTCTCTCTCTCTCTCTCTCTCTCTCTCTCTCTCTCTCTCTCTCTCTCTCTCTCTCTCTCTCTCTCTCTCTCTCTCTCTGCCCCTATCACTTGAGTATGTTAGCCTCAGGATGCCAGTAATTAGTGCTGATTTACAGAGGGCATTCGTTGTTGCCTCCCACTCTCCATTAGCTGCTGTTTGTATGGTTGTTGGGTCAATATATTCGTCATTATTATGCACACACAATTCAATAATACACACATCTGGCTGTTTATTTATTTCTGAGTGCTCCTCACAAAGCTCTAGTTACAAACTGCAGTATTTTAACTTTGTGGACCCAAAACTAATATATGACATTCAATTACTATTTTCTATGCAGTTATTTAGTCGGCTCTGTGGCTAAGTCGATGCGAACGCCTCGTAATGCCAGGGTGCCGGGTTCGATCCCAGCTGAGGGCCATGCACTTTGCGTTGGTTTTGTCAGTGGTATCAGGGACCGACCGTCAAGGGAGAAATGGCAAATTACTGGATGTAAATTTGCCTAGAGAAACCACACAACAGCCAGGGACTAAACCACACAACAGCCAGAGGCTGCTGGGGTTGGTCTGAAACGTCCTGTAAAGGATACGCAACTAGCCTTTTAATGCAGTTATTTGCTATGCTCCTTTTCTCTAAAAGGGTTAAGATTTAAAGCAAACATTATTTAGATCTAAATGGCTACAACAGAGACACGCAGGGGTGTAGCTTGGGTACTTGGCAACATAGGGTAATTGGCTCTCATGCTTGGTTGGGGGGAGGGGAGGTGGTGGGGGGGGGGGGGGTTGATCTGTCAAAATATTTTTTTTTTTAAATTTGCCTCAACCATTGCTCAATGTTGGGGCTACTTTTAAAGACACTGTAATGCATAACAGTGGGTGTCTGTGGATTAGGCGTTGCGAACGCGCTTTGTAATGCCGGGTTCGATCCCAGCTGCGAGCCATGCGCCTTGCGTTGGTTTTGACAGTGGTATCGACAAGCCGACCATCCAGAAAGCAATGGCAAACTACTGGACGTAAACTTGCCTAGAAAAACCACAACAGCCACAAAATGTTGGGGCTGGTTCTGCAACGTCATGTAAAGGATACGCAACTAACTAGTGCATAATAAGAAAGCCTGCTTAATTTCTTTGCAAGTAAATTCAAAGGATAGTAAAATATACTGGATGTTAACTATTAAAGTGTGTAATCTGTTACTATTAAAGTGTGTAATCTGTTAATATTAAAGTGTGTAATCTGTTACTATTAAATTGTGTAATATGTTACTATCAAAGTGTGTAATCTGTTACTATCAAAGTGTGTAATCTGTTACTATTAAAGTGTGTAATCTGCGCATTGTTAACTCAGAGTGCTGTAAATAACTATTGAAATAAAGCTTGTCTTATTCACAAACTATGCTTTTATAGTCAAGGAATCTAAATCTTTAGCAAACAAATCAGTTTCTGAATCCAGCACAGCACATGATTATAAAAACCATACACTCACAATAGACTTTAATCTTTTTTAAAATCTGTTTGGAACAAAGAAGACACAAACAATGGTTGCTTCATTTTAATCAGCTGTTACTGTAGTATGGAAATATGATAGGCAAAATTTTTTACACATAGATAAAAAGCATTATTTTTATCTTGTTTGTTCAAATTCCCAACAGGGAAACATTCCTTTAAGTGTGTGTGTGTGTGTGTGTGTGTGTGTGTGTGTGTGTGTGTGTGTGTGTGTGTGTGTGTGTGGCTTTGCTAACTTCTCAATATATTAACCCATTAAAATATATATATATATATATATATATATATATATATATATATATATATATATATATATATATATATATATATATTTATATATATATATAAGATTTCTTATATTCAGTTTCATAAGTTCGTAAAAGCATTAATTATTATTATTTTTTAAATTTCAATTCAAATTAGCAAGTTAACACATCTTTAATTAACAAAGCATGACACTTTACTGACATGAGACCAAAACTACAGATAGACTGTTTCTTGCTTTTAATGTGGGAACGGGTCTATTACGTGCTAAAAGCCAGTCTTCTCAGTTTCAGAGTAGAGCAAGATCACAGTCCCATAGATGTCCCATAGATGTCCCATAGAAGTCCCATAGATGTCCCATAGATGTCCCATAGAAGTCCCACAGATGTCCCACAGATGTCCCATAGAAGTCCCACAGATGTCCCACAGATGTCCCATAGATGTCCCATAGATGTCCCATAGAAGTCCCACAGATGTTCCACAGATGTCCCGCAGATGTTCAACAGATGTCCCGCAGATGTCCCATAGAAGTCCCACAGATGTTCCACAGATGTCCCGCAGATGTTCAACAGATGTCCCGCAGACTCAAGAATGAGTTTGATTCTACTTAATTAGCTTTAGCAGCTTGCAATGGAAACTGCAATGGTTAACATTATTTGCGAAGATTAGGAAAGACACTTCCATCTCCATTCTAAGCAACGAACTTAAGAACTTCCTTAGGTCGTGTTAACTTTATGTTGGTACGACTTGACAGTACCATTCTGCAGCCCAAAATCTCTTCATTCAGCTGTTGGCCACTAATATTAGAGCCGAAAAACTCACAAAACATTCATACTTCTGATTTAATTCCTTGTCAAAACAAAAACACTATATAAACATCGAAGAGAGCTCAGATTCGCATCTGTGTCAGGCAAACGAGTATATCTTACATCTATTTCTCTGTGAAGACAGTCGAGTGTTATCTTCTTGACACAGTCGATTTCCATTTTCTCCATTAACCCAGCATCTACTGAGTTTCCCCCCAGCCATTTGTTTCTTTCGTATCCATTCTGATATTCTGAGAACCTTTCTCAAGCACTTTAGCTCAAAAGCCCCTATTCTCTTTCTTAAGGACTGTTTCTTGGACTAGCTGGTGTAATTAAACACAGTAAGGTCCTCATCAAGTATTAATCGGGCCCTGCATATATGTGTGTCATCCAGATTGTGAAATCTCAAGGGTTCCAATAATCAAGTTAATGGCCCGGAGAGGACAACACGGACAGACCTGATAATAAGAACTCACCGGGGACTTTTTTTTTCCAGAAATGACCTTGGCTCCCTAGTCGACCCGGCCTTGACTGGGTACCATGTAGAGTCCTCGGAAGTAAAGGCGGCCAGTGTGATGTTAACCACATTATTCACTGAGTGCCGACTTGACTATAAAATATAGGTCTAGCCTTAAATGACCATTATGGGTTTCAGCAGAAGGCGTCGAAAAAGGTCCTTTACTTTTTTTAATGTGTGATTGGAAATCGTATTTGTTTCGTTGCAGATCACAGTTTTGTGTCTGCTTTTGGTGCTGGCCTTGATAGTTCTTGAAGTCGACGGGAAAGCGAAAGCCAAAAAGAAGAAAAGTAAAAAAAAAGCTCCAATGGGCATGGGCGGCTTCTTCATGCCTGACATAGCAGGGCCGATACAGGCAATGAAAGCGGAAGAAAGGCGGGAGGAACAAAAAGAAAAACAGCGGCTGAAGCAACTTAAGAAGGAAAAGAAAATGCGTAAATTGTAAGTTGATAGTCTATTTATAAGTGTAACATTAAAATTTCTATCTTTCTATCGGCTCTCCTCCGAACTTCTACCCGATATTATAGCGGCTCTGCAAATAGCTTAACAGGGCCTCAATCGTGTGTAAAATGCGAACTTCCTGCCAAGGAACAAATCGCGGCAAAATTAGAATCGGCTCTGAATAACGAAACAAATGCTGTAACAGGGTCTCAGCGATATGTTAATTGCGGACCTGTTTCTGCGGCTATGCCGCACCGGCGACGGTATTCCCACGCCGCTTCGCGCGGCACAGATGGGGGGAGAGGGGGGGGGGGTGGCTAAACTAGATGGCTGGGACTAACGAAAGTCAGTCTTCTCAGTTTCTGAGTAGAGCAAGATCACAGTCCCATAGATGTCCCACAGATGTCCCACAGCCTCAAGAATGAGTTTGATTCTACTTAATTAGCTTTAGCAGCTTGCAATGGAAACTGCAATGGCTAACATTATTTGCGAAGATTAGGAAAGACACTTCCATCTCCAGGGCTTTAATTTAAAGAAAGAAACTAGCCTTTTAATGCAGTTATTTGCTATGCTGGGACTCACGAGCAGCAGCTACCGCATCTCCTGCAACTTCTTCTAATTTATTTGCTCGTGAGTCCCAGGCATCTAGTTTAGATCCCCATCCGCGCTGCTGGGATAGTGTGAACGGTTTAGTTTAACTGCGTTTTGCGCATGCCGAAAAGTGTGAGGACAACAACGACGCTAATCTGCGTCGGAGCGCGTGATCTACCCGCCAAATGTCTATTATCGTCTGTAATGTTGCGTGTCTCTAAAGTGTCAATGGTCGCTATTATCGTCTGCAGAAACGCTTGAAATTGTCAACGATCGCTATTATCGTCAGGTACTATCGTCTGCAGTGTTGAGTCCCTTGAAATTGTCCAGTAATCCTAGTTTTGCCGCGATTTGTTCCTTGGCAGACAGTCCGCATTTTACACACCACTGAGGCCCTGTGAGGCTATTTGCTTGGCCGCCATAATATTGGGTAGAAGTTCGAAGGAGAGCCTATCTATCTACCTATCTTATCTATCTATATTCTACACATTTTTAAAATTATCAACTGTGAAATGATGAACAAATGAATAACTGCATGCAAGGAGTAGACTAGTAGGGCAGAATGTCAGACGGGCCTGTGTGCCCAATTCTTAACCCTTTGAAAGTAAAATATGTTTGCTTATTCTATCTTTCTGTGTGTGTGTGTGTGTGTGTGTGTGTGTGTGTATTTATATATATATAAATATATATATATACACACACAAACACATATATATATTTATATACACACACATTTATATATATATATATACACACCCACACACATTTATATATATATAGATAGATCTATATATATATATATACATAATAATAAATTTCTGTTTAGCTTTCGATAGAGTAAACAGAAATCATATATATATATATATATATATATATATATATATATATATATATATATATATATATATATATATATGCTATATATATATATATATATATATATATATATATATATACATATATAGATCTATCTATATATCTGCCTGCCCTGTCAGTACTTTTTTGGCTATCTTTCGAATTTTGTTCCCAAATTATCGAGGCCGAAAATATACCCTAACAGGGCCTCAGTCACATGTTAACTGCGAACTTTTGGCGACTACTGCCACTGCCGAGAGTATCTCCTACGCTGCTACACGCGACGTGGATTGGGGCTAAACTAGATGGCTGGGACTCACGAGCAGCAGCTACCGCATCTCCTGCAGCTTTCTTCATTTTTTGTTTTGCTCGTGAGTCCCAGCAAAGAAAAAGAAGATTCACAGCCTCCTCAGAATCTCGTAGTTGATAGTTTTTCCTTCCATGAAATGTTACCTATTCTGTACATCCACATGTCCAGAGACTCAATTTTAACAATTAATAGTGTCTACAAACAGAACTGCACTAAAACTCATGAACTTTTAATCCTTCCACTTGCTGCTTAACAACAGTGATGAAGGTTCAGAAAAAGCCGGACTAAGTCTGGCTGTAGAAACACTCTTATATATTGTAAAATATGCCTATAAGTTTTTGCTAATGCTGTTTGTTTTCAATTTCTTTACCAGAAAGAAAAAGAAAGAAGCAAAATTAAAGAAAGAGCAAGAAAAGCAAGAAAGGAAGAGAAGGGCTGCAGAAGAAAAAGCAAAGAAGAATGCTGCACAAGAAGTGGAGCCTCCTAACAGTGTGAAACAGAATGTTGCACAAACACCCAATGTTAAACAGAACAATGCAAACACAAAACATTTTAATCTGAATAACGTGAAACAGAATATTCCTCAACCACCCGATGTTAAACAGACCAATTCACAATTACCTAAAGTAAAACAGACTTATTCACCAACACCCAATGTAAATCAGGCTAACTCACAACCACCCAATATAAAACGGAGCAATGAAGAAACAAATAATGAAACATCAAACAATGTGACACTGTATGCAGCAGATAACATGCCCTGCAACCACGTGTGCCCAGCCTGTAGCGGCAAAGAAATTCAAAACTGTGAAGATTACAGCAAAGTCACCTGTCGATGGCCATACTAACATCAGGACTGTCGTTGTAAGTACACTGTGCCTGTTGTTTTGTTGCTGTTGTAGGACCCTCTTCAGTATTGTTCACTGTGGTAGGATTTCAACAACTGGGAACTGACTTTACTCGCCATATGCTACCCAGTCCTATGTAAGAAAAAAAAAAAAAAATGTGCATTGTAACAGTGGTAGGATTTCAAAAACTTGGTACTGACTTGACTCACCAGATACTACTGAATCCTATGTAAGAAAACAATGTGAATTGTAACAGTGGTAGAATTTCAAGAACTAAGCACTGACTTGACTCGCCCAATGCTACCCAGTCCTATGTAAGAAAACAATGTGCATTGTAACAGTGGTAGGATTTCAAGAACTGGGCACTGACTTGACGCCCAATGCTATCCAATCCTATGTAAAAAAAACCAAGAAAGTGCACTGTAACAGTGGTAGGATTTCAAGAAGTGGGCACTGACTTGACTCGCCCGATGCTACCCAATCATTTGTAAGAAAACAAAGAATGTGCATTGTACAAGTAGCCAGGAGTGCACATAGCAGCTGTAATCGCCACTTACATTTTCCATTGCCCCTTCGAAAAAAATAATAATTTTACTATTTATTATTACCATTACAAATATGCCACTGAGTTTATGTCTCGAAAATATAAAACATCACTCGCTGCATGCTTATGCCATTCAAGCAGAAACTAACACGTGAAAGCTACCAGTTACTAGTACTACAATGCTAGCTGCATGTGCATATTCTCAGCAGCAAAATGATGAGGAGGAAAATATTGTGCGATATCCTATCTGATGTAATCGTTAGCTGCTCACACTTACTGAATTTGTCTCACCACTGCATTGTAACCTTCTATGTCACCCAGGTGATATAAAAAAAAAAAAAAAAGAACATTGTAACACTATTTCACCCATGTGTTACCTCGACCTGTATTGGAAACAAATAATAGTAGCCTTCATAGAGGTGCATGCTTGCGCACAAACACACAAAGAAAGCTGGTGTAAGAAAATGGATAGCTCCTCCTATTAACTATAAAATACAACTTTTCATTTATCCTCCTCCTTCATCTTTTTCTCCATGGTCACAAGCTGTAAACTCTGGCAGAAAGTTCTGGTTGCTCGTCCACTTCTGGTCTTTAATCTTTGTTCCAGAAAAACTTACCAATCTGGCCTGTTTGTGTGTACCTCACCTCTCAGGCAGATGCAAACTGACTTTAAAGGAAACAACATAGTTTGTCACCTTTTAGGGCATGATCATTAAGAGGCAGGGGATCTATTCTCGTTTCCCTGAAAATGATACCTAGGAAGTCAGATGGGGAAATTCATCTACTAAAAACTTGAGCGTACCTTGAAAATTCGTAGAGGGTAGGAAGAAGCAAATCATAGTAGTAACATATGTTTTTGCAAAAATTTAGTAGTCTAATCCTCGATGATGCTATGGTCTTCATGCAAAGAAAATTGGGGGGTGGGGGGAGAAAAGATAGAAACAATGTGGAAGAGTAGCAGAAACAACAGAAAAAGACACAGTGGATGCTGAAGAAGACGAAGATAAAGGAGGAGGAGAAAAAGTGGAGGAAGAAGAAAAAGAAGAAAAGGAAGTATTCTTTATTTACAGAACCACAGCCAGACTAGGGTGTGATCCTTAGCTATTCACTGTTTACCATAGAGATGGCATACAACATAAAAGATACCACTCCTGTTTTATATATCATTCCAGAGCTCCAGATTTCAACGACTTCAGTTTCCTGCTAAATACAGACAACTGTCAAAGCTCTGATGCAGTGTGATAACATTCACTTCAGTGTCCAATATGCAGCATTTAAAATATTCCATTTTAATCTTTTAATGTCCTTGTTAACTTCCTTTTTTTCCCCATCTTTTGAACATTGTGTCTGTTTGTTTACTTTATGATTTTGTTGTTGGTTACACACGCAAACTATTGTGGTTTCCTTATTGTTTTTAAATCCAATGAATGATGACTTAATCAGGTTGCCACTGGTACAATAAGTTTGTGAACTCTTCTTCGGCTGCTGACGAATAGAGACAGAGCTCATCTCTAAATGCATGCAGTACAGTAATGGCACTGCTTCAATAAATACCAGTTTTAAAAATACATAGCAGAAAATATGTATAATTAAAAATAGTGCAAGCTTATACAATATATGGGATGGCTGACTTAGGGCATTCTTCAAAGTCATAGTCCATCTGCTTGAGACACCAAGAACCAGGAGTTTGCATAAAAATAAGCTAGATCTGTGAAACAGATGTGCACACAACACTCAGGTTCTGCAGGAAGACTTAAGTGCGGAGGTGGACGAACACCCAGAACTTTCTGTCGGAGTTTACAACCAGTGAAGGAGAAGGAGAAGAAGGAATCAAATCCAGGACCTACTTTGAGCTGGGAGGCAAGCACCCAGTCACTACTCTAATGCGCTCCTGATGTAGGCACACACAATACTACACACACAAAAACACAGTGATTTTAACACAATAGCACAAATTGAATCACAGTTTGAGTTTATTTTTAAAACATGATTATTCTCTTTTAGCACCATTCAGACACACGTCAATAAATGTCATAAAACAATATATTTTAAATCTTCTCTTTCTTCTTGATGTCCTTCTGTACAGTTTTGGGTGATATGGTTCTACTTCTAGCTCTTCTGGTGGTCACCTTGACCACAGACACACTGCTGTTGCAGAGTTTATCTGATGTGATCTTTCCATAAGGTTCTTGGTCTACCTCATGATTTGCTTTCGTTGTGCATAATTTAGAATTTGGTTTCATGTCAACTTCTCTAATACCTGATTTTATCTCTTCTGGTCTGAGATACTTGCTCTTAACTCAGTAAAACACCTAATTTTAACATTTATTATGTGATCATCTTTCTCAGTTTAATCTTTACTGTATAAAAATGTGTCAACTCCATGTTCATTTATGAATAAATTAAATCAAACCAGACTTATTTATTCACAGCTTTACTTATCAAAACTATGTTTCTTTTGAATTTTTTAGCAATAAGGCTGCCAAATATAAGCAAAACAAATAAGCACGATTAAAATTCTCTTTTATAATCAAATGAAATGTATCTTAATAATAAATTTAGAAACATTTTATTTTACAAAAAACTGCATTTCCACCATTATTTCATTCACTTCTTTGACTCCCAGGTCGACCCAGCCTTTTATGGGTACCAGGTGCAGTCCTGGGAAGTAAAGGCGAACGGCGTAATGCTGACATCACCCATCTTGTGCCGATAGATCTATAAAAATAAAGGCCTAGCCCTATATTCCCAATACACCTAAAGGCATGAAAAAGAGACCTTTTACTTTTTACCTAATTCATTCACTTCTGCCACATACACAGTCATGCTGCGACAAAGAGGTGTTACTATCTCTGTTTACAGTGTCCCTGTATGTTCTTTATCCAAACACAAGCAGGTAACAGCAAGATGTCTTTGTTGCTGTAAATATGTTTACCATCATACTCCCATTTTGTGGACAAAGAAGAAAATCAATAATAACATACAGACATCTGCAGACAATACCATAAAACTTAGTTAAAACGAATCTGAAAGGTCAAAATTCGCGTTTGTGTCAAAACAAATTTGTTCTAATCAGGAATTAATATAAATTTACATCTCTGCTGAGACCAGTTTTTTAATGTTAACTGAGTGTTCAACTGAAGTAAGTTTATGCTAACGAGGTATTACTGTTCTAGTAAAATAGATTGTCTAAAAATAATATGCCTGATGTACCATGATATGAAAAAGTTATTCACGTGACCCCTGGTTGGCGCACTGGTGGTTGGAATACTTCACCCTTTGTTACTGCTTGTAGTTCAGACAGACATAGGCTTCGGCCGAAATGTCAATTAGTTTTTTTAGCCACAGTTCACTGGATTAACTTCTTAGCAAAATAAAATACCAGCTATAAATGGTTACCAGTTAAAGTCCTGGGAAGTAAAGATTATAAGAGTGAAGCTGACATCAGACCAGTCGGCACTGGTAATCTGGATTACCAGATTACCAGTGCCGACTGGTCTGAAAAACAGTCTAGCCCTATATGCCCAAAGGCACGGAAAAGGTTTCTTTACTTTACTTACTTTATGACTTTCTAAGTATATAAATAACCTAGTACAAGCAACCCCTTATACAGCCATATTTTATTATTATGTTGTGACCAAATATAATAACTTAGAGAAATTACTACACGACCAGTGTGATTCAAAAGGAAGAAATAGTTGTGAGTGACACATTTCTTGTGACAAGAGAAGTTAAGGGAAATTTACAAATGAGTACATTTTGTCACAATATTGGTACATATTTTTTACATTCAAGAGGATCAGCTGGCTTAAAGGTTAAGAACGCTGGGCTCTAAGTAGGGAGACCCAGGTTCAAACCCCCAGTGAGGTGATTGCATTTTTGTTTCCTGTTGGAGGCAAAAAACAAAATATTAAACTGCATCGTTCATGGTGACTGCGATAGCCATGTCGTCCTCAATCTTAGGCTTGAAATCCTCAAGGCTCTACACCGCTCTAAACAAAAGTGGTTTATACAGGCAATAAAGACGTTTAAAATTAACCCCTCTGATTAACAAATAGGGTGGGATCTCATCTGCTAAACACTCACTAATATTTAGGTAAATTCAATGTTATTACATAAGTTTAACTCTTTCGGCCTCATAGGGTTTTGTATAAATATCATAATTTATTTTCAGTACACACTCTCATGAAAATGCTAAACACCTGCAGAGCTGTAGAAAAAACAAATGAATTAAAGATACCCCTGTTGTTGTCAGATTTATTTAGCGTACACTGACCAAAATTTAAATATATGAAGACACCCAACGTGATGTTTGAAATGTGTGAGGGAATAATCAGTTACACATCATGCATCGTCTATAGCTGAAAGAGTTAATACACTTTTAAATAAACACTCCAAAACTCCAGAAATGTTCCATTTTTGTAACCACCTCTGTCATGTACTAACATGTTATCCT